TGAAGGTACTACAAATCTACATAAATATTATCATTTAAAAAAATTCATTTGTAATTTTAACCAAGAAAATCCCAAAAACTTTTACTTTTTTTAATAGAAACTAGGATGATTAGCATTAATAATTAATTATCTCAATGTTACTATAAATCTACATATATTATCCAAAACCCTAATACATTTTTCGACATTGCATTTACCTTTATGATAGATTTTATTGATCTTCTTTAGGATGTAAGACGAGAAAAAAGAAAAAAATTATTTCCACATATGCTTAAAAAATTAACTTAAAAGAGATTTTCTAGAAAAACTATATATCAGTTTTCATTTGACTTAGGTGATATTCTTCACGCGTATTCAATAAGCTTCAAGCAAATGCTTATACTCATTCTAAGTTTACTATTAAAAATTAGATTGAATATTCATCTTGTAGACTTGTGATCATGTGTATTGATCAACTTTTTTATAATTTAAGACTTTTTTCTATGATATAAAAAACATTCACGCTAAAAATATAAAGATTAACACTATTGTAGCTCAATGCCACATTCAAGATTAACTATCTCACCCTCTTTTTTTGGGCAAGCCTTGCTATCTCAGATGAAGCTTTGATAGATGGTACTGAAAAAATGCACATTTTTATTAGATGAAAGAATTAATTGGATCTAAATAATTGGAAAACTTAATTTTTAAAATGTGGACAAATATAAACACCTCAACTCCTTAGGGAAGAGTTCTTTTGGGTTTAGGGGAACTAATGCAACATTACTAGCACTTCTAGCACATAAACTTATCGTAGGAGTTATGGAAAGAGAGAAATAATATAAAGCCTTAAACATTTTATTTTTGTGTTTTGTAAGGATATAAGCTTATTATCATAGTATTCACCTATCTTTTTACCAAAAAAAAAAAGAAAAACTCATAAAAAAATAATAGAGATATGTATGTGAACCACGTTGCATAAGACTAGCATCTTACTTAAAAAAGTATGTAGTCTCACATGGGCAGACATCCTCATAGGTAAAATGGATATTTATGAAAAGTCAAGGCTATTTAGGAAAGTGAAAATATGATATGGAAGTTTCTCCAAAAAAAAATTAGAATAGCTTGAAATTAAGTTGGTTATTTGAAGATTTAGAGTAAACCTTATGAACTCATCTGCAGGGACTCCTAATATGAGAAATTGATTTGAAGATTTAGAGTAAACCTTATGCAGCTTCTACTTGAGTGACTGACAAAACTCATCTGCAGGGACTCCTAATATGAGAAATTGAAAGTTGAAGAAAAAGCAAATCAAAACCTATATAATCAAATGCATTTTTATTAAATATAACTTCATATAATTTGATACTATTTATTATTTATAAAGTTATAAAAATATGCAAAATAGAGATTTCGTTAATATCCATGGACCTTTAATCTATAAGGTGTTATAATTTAAAATACAATTGAGATTATTCTCTTTTTATTCAAATTTTTGCTTGGTAGCAAGTTAATTACCTTTTTTTTGTGAGATTGAGATTGATACCCATCCTTCGTTGATGGTTTGGCAGCTATTCGAGTATTTTTCTTAGCTAAAATTATTATTTCATTTGTGTTATTCTTCTATTATTCTTCAAATTTATAACAATCACTTCATCACTTTGGAGTACCAATCATTGTTTTGGATTAGTTTTAATCAATACCATAATGGCTAGGCTCAAGTGGCTCAAATTTGTTGTGGAGTTCATTATTAGAGATAAAATCTTGAAGGGTTGGATAGATGCAGAGCTCAATTATTATCCAGTTAATATGAAAAAAAGTTCATTTAATAATATTTGGATATCATATGACCATAAAATTATGATGTAATATAACAATGACTAAAGCCTAAGAAATAATATATATATTTCGTAGAAATTGTTATGTATTGCTAAAGTTGTTAAGAGTTAGTTATTTGTATGAAAGTCACTCTGTTCAGTGTCCTTAAAGATGGAATAAATCCATCATAAATTAGGTTGTTAAAGCTAACATAAGGTAAGTAAATTGTAATACTAATTTTTATAATAAGATAATTCATATAAAGATTATTTCTTTTCCATAACATAGACTGCATCGTGCATCTGATCTATAACACTATCTTCTTATTCAAAGAAAAACCTTCAAGAAATTAAATCTACCCAAAGTTCTTTAAAAATAAGCACTATCTTGACATTAAGTAGCAGTAGTAGTAGTAGTAGTAATAATAATGCTCTATCTTGGCATATTTTTCAGCAATTTAAGTCAATAGGTACACATAAATTTAAATATTATATGATACATTTACTCTTGTAAATTTGCAAATGTACATTTAGTATTTAAAATAAATGTTGGAACATACATATTTTACTAACTATAAATGAATTTTTCTTGCAAGTAAATATATTTTTTAACTAACTAATTTTATTACATAGTTTTTCAATTTAGAGTCAATCAATAATTGTGTTATTTGGAAGATGTAAGTGTATATAAAGTGTTACTCATTTCAATTTCAATTGTTTAGTCATTCTATTGTTCAATTCAAAACTTTATGTTATGCTTTATCTATTTTGCCATATTACATTGCGATGTTCTCTGGTGAATTGAATAAAACAGTGACTGTACATATTATGGCATGAATATAGTCTATACATGTTTATAACATATTTGAAGGGAACTCAAACATAGTCCAAAAACTATCCAAATCTTATTTATTTTTCAAATCCTATCTTGGAATGCATATTTAAACCATAATTGATTAAAATTTGACTATTATTTAAATCTTATTCAAGCATTGTTTGAACTTCTTTTGAGCTTTTTTTACTCGAACCTCCTACAAAATAATATATATTTAAAAAGGAATGACCGAATGCTATTAATCGAGCCCCGACCATTCCTAAAGCACCTAACCACTCGAGTACCACACTCACACACAGGGGGATTCGAACCACAAACCAAAGGAGACTTGCACCGCTGATGCAGATGCTCTACCAACTAACCTGAAAACGCGACACAAATACACACACACACAATTTTGTTCAGCATGTGCTTGTGCAACCTTTTAAGATGGTAAGATACTGATTAAAAAGCATGGCCAGATAGAGACAAACATAATAAAAAAAAAGATAAGATAGATGCCTTGGTGAAAGATAATAGTTTTGAAATATAATCAAACATAAATAGGCACATAAATCATGTTAATGGCTTGATAATACATAGCTAAACCTACAATATAATGACATTTTTATTGAGGTCCAAAAATTTTATTAGTTTTGATATCCACCAAAACCTGCTCAAGATGCTGAGTTAGCCCAACTAAATGACACATTATTTATAATTATTGATGGACACAAAAGCTTGCTGACATACCACTGAGGTTGCACATAAATACCCTTTTAACAATGATAGTTTGGGTGATGTCATAATAGATTCTATTTGAATGCTAATATATAAACTATAACTTAGAAATAAGTATGATCTCATATTTATAAATTAAATAAAGATAAATAACAAAGCAAGTTGGGTCATACTTATGAGGTGCAGAGCCTAACTTGAAGTCTCCTTATATTATGTTATTTTATATTCAATAGAATATATTGTATTTTCTTAAAAAATATAATATGTCATGGTATTTGGCAGACCATTTGACTTTTTTTCTCTACATTACCTAGTAAATCACATCACTTGTTACATAGAATTAAAAAAGGAGCATTTACAGCATAGCATATAATTCTTATGTAGTTCCATATCTTACACATCTCATATTTACACACATAGCATTAAAATCTTTAATATCACATAAAGAATAACACTCACCATTTTTTAAGAAAGAAATACACATCTTAATGTGTCTGTTTAAAAGACCAAAGTGTTATACTTGTAAATATGAAAGTTTCAAGTGTGATATATGCAAAATACATAAGAATTGTGTGTTTCGTATGTAAATTTCGCATTAAAAAATCATATACATCTACAAGAGTTGATATGTAAATGATAAAAGTGTAGCAAAGAATTGCATAAGGGTATTGCAAAATTATATAAGCTTACATAAATGAGCAAATAGCAAGTAGATGATTAAGATAAACTTACATGAGGGTTTTGCAAAATTATTGCATCCAGCTTGGTAGCTTCATCATTTCTCCAAAAATCCTATTGCTCCCCAACTAAAGGGAGGGCATGGAAAGATAGGAAGGAGACAACTAATTGGAAGAGATGGGAACATGGCTATCATCCCAGATTGATAAAAATGCCGTCCAAACAATACAAGTGAATTTTCCATTGAGTTTCCCATATTTTCATGTCTTTTGATACTTCCAGACTGATAGAGCATAGAATATGCAACAACAAGTATTTCTGTAATTTCAAGGAATAATTAGAGTGCAGAGTACAAAAAAAGTTAAGCAAAGGCAGCTTGGTATGATTTCTCTTTCAACAAAGCTTTGAAAAATGTTGAGAGACATCTATTTGAATAAGCACACAAGCTAGATCAAGCAAATTCTCAACAAAATATTTAGTTTCATATAAAATGTTCTTAATACTTATTTAATTTCGTAAGTGAAGGTTATTCAGTGTTATATCATAATGGAAAATACAAAGCGCGAAGCGCAATGCGATGTGCAAGGTTTATTTTTGTTTCAAAGCGCAAAAAAACAGAGTGAAGCAACGCTTTTATAAACCAAAACGCTAATAGGTTATGCAAAACTATTAATGTATAAATACATTTATTAACAATTATAAAATATAATGGCTTAAAAGTTGATATAAAATAGAAAAAAATATGGTACAATACACAACTTGAAGGCAAATACTGAGGGTAAATCAGCCCATTAAAATTTATAATAATTTCTAATAATTTGCTGCCATAATTAACTACTGAAAAGCTAGAAAAAAAAATATGTAAATTAATTCAGCGTTTTGAAGTGCGCCTCAGCAAAGCAAAGCATAGCGGGCATCACATGCTTTGCTTCGCTTTGCTCGTGAAGTGTGTTTAAGTGATGCTATGCTTTGCTTCGCTTTGCTCGTGAAGTGTGTTTAAAAGTACGCTTTTAAAAACATTGACATAAATGTAGAGAAACTGAAACCGGAACAAGTAAGAACTCAGCAGAAACTCAAAAGCAAACTTTTATTAATGTAAAAAAAGTGCTACAACATGACATAACTGGAAAGAACAATATAATGACACTAAGCTTCGGCTAAGGCCAGAAGCGAGGACCCTGGGTGGTGGTGGTGGTGGTGGTGGTGTAGGCGTTGGCGTAGTGCGGGGACGGGGAAGGGCTGGAGGCAGCGGGGTAGGTTAGAAAAGGAGGATTTGGAATGAGGGGTGGTGGCTGATTTGATGGTTGGAGGAGTGGGGCGATAGGGAAATTGGTGGAAAAGGCAAGCGGAGATGTTGGGTTCTGTGGGGTTGACCCGAACAACAAGGAGGGCTGCTTGGAAAGGCTGGTGGGATACAGGTTGGTAGCTATAGGGCAGGACAGCAAGGTCCGGCAGCTGGGGAAGGGAGGACAGGGTGCTGATAGGTGGATGGGAGGGTTGGAAGTGGGCGGCAGCATAAAGAAGATGTGTCGGGGGTGGCCATCGGCTAGAGATAAGGGAACGGGAGGAGTGGAGAAGGGGTTTGAGGAAGATACAACACCGCCTCGGACTAGTATACGGCCAGAGTACCACCACTTCCTCGGATACAACCCTAAAAAATTGAAAACAACTCCACACAAGAATCTGGAATCTGAAAACAGTAAAAACTCAGCCATAATTCTCTGAAACAGTAATATATAGACTCCAATTGGAAAAGAAAAAGAAGGAAATAGAAAATTAAACTCCTACATGAAAAAAAGGGATGGTGAGGAAGGAATATCCCAAAAAATAGCCATTATAGACCTTCCATATAGAGAAGAGCGCACAAGGAATGGGAGGGGCAGTAGTTCAGCCGCCCCTCACCAGACATCGCGAGAATTCCTTCCGGGCCTCTCCAAAAATCAATAGATTCCTTCCTAGACCACATACCTGCCTTCCGCCCCTCTCCAGAGGTTGCGAGATTCGTGCCTAGACTGGTCCTTTGGATCAGTTAAGGTGTGTGAGAGTATTTGCCAGCCGATTCAGCAGGTTGGCGCTTCAGCGCCCTGCATCAGAAACACAACTACAATTATAATAATGTAAAAAAAACATAAATAACAATTGAAGACAATATTTGGCTTTGGTTCAGGGAAAGGTAACATTTATTTTATCTGGGTCCTTAGGAATACAAAAACCAAAATATTATATCAAAAACCATAATAAAGTTATCTCACATCGTCAAATAACTTCCATTGAAATCTCATAAAGGAAAAGAAGAATAATGAGATCCTTTAGCCAAGTTCAATTGCTAACAACCCCAAGGTAATTACTAAAAAGATCTGAAGTTTCACCAACATGAATGTGCCATAAAGCCTCACCAGTAGTACAATTGGTAGTAATCTGCATATAAGAAATAGGACTAAGAAATGTGTGCATAAAAATAGACTGCCCCAAGTCATGTTCGTAAACTAGATAAGATATAAACGTTAAAAAAAATAAAATTAAATATTTCAACAAAACCGAGCATTTAGTGGAAAGATGGTTACTAGTAAATATTATCGACAAACAGGAACAAAGAACATGAACATAGCTGAATTGATAAAGAAAAAAACTTGCAACACCTAATTCTCCACATTACCAAGAGGCCCAAAGCTATTAGTACATTTTATACAGAATTTATAATGAAGAACAAAGATGAGAAAAAAAAAACCTGTTAAGGACAAAATTCCATCCTAATATTTCCAATCATAACATATGAGAAAATAGGCCAACTATATTAGAATAAATAAAAGGAAATAAAAAAAAAATAAGCTCATTGTCTTACTTTGGTAGTAAAGCCATATAAATCTCTAATATCACTCAAATAAATCATAGCAGCCTTGAAATGAAAAAAAAAGGGGTGAAAACTTGGAAAGATAAAACTCCTGCCTTTACCTATCCAATTATATCAATTCAAAAACATGCTAACTCTAGTAAGATAACAAAATCAATATAAAACGCACGAAATAACAATCGTCCTCCAGACAATAAGGCCAGTTGGCCAACAAATATTTTAGAAGCAGCAGAAAATTAAGAGTTTCATATAGTTGCAAAACAGAAACAAGATAAAGGTGCCATAATAGGTTACTCCTTATAGACATTACTGAAGTAAATAACACTAATACAAGTAAATAAACAAATAATATAAGCGTGAATCTCCTCTTCTCATCACAGCTAGCTAATTGGTGACTAGACAATTAATAGGCATTATGATGGAGTAAATGATAATTTGTGACAATAAAAACACCCAATATTATAGTTTTAAAATAAATTTAACACAATATCATGTTTACATCCAACCCCGACATTAGGGATTTAGTTCAAGCAGATGAAAAAAAAATACAAAATAAAACAAACATGATAATAATAAAAACTAGAATAAAAAAAATTAAGAGAAAGCATTCGTTTAGCACTTGTGATCTACATTTTCTTCTGTGTGTCAAAGCCTCCATAGTTCTCTTCAATGGCTGCTTTCAAGGGAATCTTTAAGAGCCCTAGAATATAGTTACCAAAATCTACACATGGTACCTCTGAAAGTCTCTTAATTCTTTCAAAAATATTCTTTAAAAATGGTTGCACAATCTTTCCAATCATGAAAAATTAGAACAAAATAAAAAATGACACCCCAATGGTAATTAGACACCATAACCTAGCGCCTAAGCATTGAGATCTCTGCCTTGGGCCCGCTCATGCTACAGCTTAGCACCTATGTGCTAGGATTGAAAGCCTAGACGCTAAGTTCTTAGTTTTAAATCTTGTTCTAGCGACAAGATGATGGCATATCTGTTAGACTGAATCAGGAGCTTAGGCATTCTTGGTTACTCGTCTTGGCATCTTAGTGATGGATCTAGTGCCAAGACGTCAGCACATGCTCTACCACAGTTTCAAGCCAAATTGCACTGATTGTGCCATGCTTTGCTTGAACGACTGAATTAGGGGTGTCAAATTTTGGCTTGACATACCAACTTGAGTCTAACTCCACTCAAAAGGTTTGAATTAGGGGTTGAACTAATTAAATTTCGGGTCAAGTTCGAATTTGAAATCCAAACACATTTAATTTTTTAGGTAATATTCTTGTTGACCAGTTTATCCAAAATTGAGCACCAACCCAAAGTTAAACAGAATTTGACCCACCAACTCGAAATTAACTTGAATTTATCCTTAACTTGAGATCAAAATTTTACCTTAATAGATGATATGAATATATTGAACGTTTTACATAGGTCGAATTTGGGTGAGATAGATTGAAGATAGATTGGGTTCTGGTCAAAATTTCTTGCCTATTTAAAATTTGGGTCAAGAAGCTTCGAGACAAATCAATTTTGGCTCAGGCTTGAAAGCGACCTGCATATCCAATTTAACACCCCTAAGCTAAATGATTTAAATGTGCATATTTTCTTCCACTTTTTCTCCATTTTTTTCCCCTAACTATAAGGTTCAAATTTGCATCATTAAGGTAGTAAAATTTATCGAATATCATGCACATATATGAACACTTTATCTAAAGTGGTAAAAAATATGTAAATTTTATTGCCATCAAATTCTAGTGTGAAACATGTCGTATGCAATCCAAACATTAGCAATAATGTCCCAGCATTAAAACAGGAACGGTCTCTTCAGCAAAGCAACAGAAAACATTCAAAAGAAAGCTAGAAATGCTTTCTTCAATGAAATCCAAAGATATGAATTCTCTTATAAATTTCCAAGATATTTTTTAGGCTAATGCTTAATTAAACCATCGAATTACTTGCTCTATTTTCCACATAAAGAACAACTAATTAAGCAAATTTCTTTTCATTATCCTCCATATAATATAAGATTATTCCTGCCTGATTCCCTTTAAAATAAAAATACTCTGAATATAAACACAAGTAAAATTATTTTTTATTTCAAACCAAGTTTGAATATACTTCAATATGGTTAGGATCTTATTTAAATGGAGCAAAAATGTTTGATCAATGATAAAAATAAGTTTGAATAATGTATGAACGATTTTCAATCTTTAAAAAAAGATTCAAAACTCTGTTCAAACCATTTTCGATCATTGATCAAATGCTAGTTCAAACTTGTTTCTTCAATCGTCTATTAGGTTTTAAGTCTTTCCTTGTTAAAATGATCTCAATTGTCTTCCTTAAAATCAATATAAAGCATATGAATCATTATAAATCCACTCTGAATATATACTATAAATTTATTCAAACAGATCAAAAAGTTGACCCCTGATTGTTGAAGACATTTTAGACAACTCTGCCTGAATCAACTACACTATTGCAGTCTTAATATCCAAGCGTAAGACAAAATATCGAACGAAAAGATAAAGAAACAAACAATGGTTATAAGAGAAAATAACAAGGAGTGTATGGAGTAGCTAGGAACAATGATGCTAAATGTTTCTTGCCAGATATAGTTTAACATGTTTATAGGCAAATTAAATATACATTTGTCAAAAAAAAGCTTTTGAGCATATTTAGCTATATATTTAACCAATTTCATAAGTTATGAGGCACATAGAAAAAAAGCTTTTGAGCATATTTAGCTAAATAACATACAGCAAGTATATTTAACCAATTTCATAAGTTATGAGGCACATAAAGTCAGGTTTTACTTCATTTATTACAAAAACTAGAAGGAAATGTCATTCAATAAGTTGAGATAATATAATTATCAGAGAATTGATAAATTAAAGTATCAAACTAACTCAGTTAGGGTTGGCTAAAATTTGGTACATTAACTCATCACATCCAACCCACGAGTCATTTATCAAGCTGTTTGAGTCCCCTCACCAATCTAATCAAATGTATTTAAAATAATTGCTCTTTGTGATATCCTATTAATTTAAATTCATTATTTAATCTAATTTATGAAAGATCGCATTTATATGTGCCTGTATAAAATTTAATGTTGAAGGGAAGTTCTGATATATCCAAATAGATTTTAGTTATTAAGAACCAGTATCAAATAATAACAGTTATCAATTTATTAACAAAAAAATATACATGTAATGTTTAAAAACACACATTTTCAAACCATTTCACATTAATCTTAAAAATAACATTCTAGTAAATATACAAGACAGATGGCATAATCATTATTTGATGAGCAATAATTTTCAGAATATCTTTTATCAGCATCCATGTCTTTTTATGCTTACATGATAGAAAAGCTGTTATTTTTTGCATTTAAGAAGTTTTACATTATAATAAATAAATATATCATAAGAAATTATAAACAAGCATGAGAAAAGTTTGTCATATTTAAGAGAGAAACCCTGATGACTGTCAAGCCACACAAAATCTACAAAGCATTTGACATCAAGCAGAAGAAGAAAGCATCATTAGCTCATGATCACAGTAAACCCACAATCTATTATAATTACAAGCATTGTGGGGTTTGGCCGAGAGAATTCCCCTCATTCCTAAAACAAGAGAGGGTTTTGAGGAGCCGAAAGAGAACTGAAAAGAACATGGAGATGAAAATGATTGGGAAATTAAATTGAAATATATTTTGCCTTATTTAGTTGAGAAGAAACTAAATAAAAAAAAAAATTATTCTTAGATGATAAGTTATAATTTTTTTGTTTATTTCTTATGAAGGACATCCTATTCACAATGATGACCAATGAATTTATCTTATTTTTCAGCTAAGGTTGGGTAGAACATTAATAAATGGACAATACGTTTCTAACATGACTTGAGAAAATCCATACCAATGGTAGTTTGAACATTTTCTGAGGTCATTACATGCACTCAGCAAGTATAATAGAATAAAGAACATCGCAAATAAAAAAATATGTGAAACAATAAAAGCAAAATTAAACTAGTTGTTTTTATTGGTAATGAAATTAAGTTTATTCTTTACTAGCTATATGCTAGTCAATATTGTTAACACACATCTATTATAACATAAATACCGAACCAAACTCAAAACTGCACAAGCTCACGAGTTAATAGACATGCCAATTTGTTTGAATGAATCGATCAAAATTCTTCTAGATGCAACAAGAAAATAAGTATACAGTTTTTGTAAATGTATCACGAAATGTAATTTTTTTCATGCTTGCAAGAAGCCAATCTAGAGTTACTGCTATTTTGTTTGTCAATTTCAAGCAGCTTTGACTGCAATAAATTTACCCAGTTGGTGCAGCTGTCTATAACTTGATTGTTTTCCTTCTGTTCCTCATATCAGAGAAAGAAATTCAAGGTTTGCTTATCCAAGAGAGTGATTCCAGACTTGTTCTTTCAGGTTAAAGATGCCATAAACTTGTCTATTGTTCAAAAAATTTTGGCTTGCCATGAACATTAGAGAAGAACTGAAGACCAACTCCATATCATAGAATGTGATTGCACCCTACATATCAAATAAAAACACCAGCTCTATTAGCATTTCAAGTAAGACAACAAAATCACTACTGAAATCCCAAGGGGTGCTCAAGAAAGCATTTGTTTTTTACTTTTCTAATTTTTTTTTTAATTTCATATTGTTTATGTTTTGATTTGAAATGAAATATATTAGACGGCGATAATTATTTTTAAAAAAATCTAAGCATATAAAAGTTTTTATGAGTCTCTTTAAAAACAAATTGATTTATTTTAAAAAACACAATATAAAAACAAACAAAAAATACACAGAACACATATTTTAAGAAAAAAAATGTAAAAACAAAAAGAAAAGTAGAAAACTAAATTGATCCCAAACAACCCCTTAAGCTCTTTGATTTTTATCAGTTTGTGGATGTAAGATAGTTTAGTTGATAAAAATCATACGAGTTGTTACCAAAGTTCTAAGATTAAATCAGCCGATGATACTATATTAAAAAATTGTCCAATGTTGATGATGCTAGAATAGAAAATTACCAAGCAACCAAACACTAGAAGATAAAATAAAAGTAGTTAAACAATTATATAAATTCCAAAGACAAAGGATGACTAAGGTCACAGTAAATAGCCCAAAATAATAAAAAGCCTGAAAAAGTTGCAAGATGCTAATGTCCCAAAAATAAATAAAACTATAAAAATACTCTGGTCCCACAATAGGATGCTCAGTCTTGTCTAATTTAATGATTAGCCACTAGATTTCAAATCTTGTATTTTTACATTTTACTTGTTTAATCACTTTTATTTTATATAGTAGATTAGTAGAGTTTTAGAAATACAGTAAAAGGACATAAGCATAAGGAAAATTAAGAAAGTGCTACAATTTTTTAATTGACATAATTTTATCACTCTATATGAATTAAAAACTTTTACCAACTTGCTCACCCCTTTCTCTATCTCTGCTGAGCTTGCCAAGTGGATGTTGGAGTTTGCTGCTTTAGCACTGCTGATTTTGATGATGGAGTTCTTAACATCTTTTATTATTTCCTAACCATATGCCATTCAGTACTTCCCACTCATATGACAAACTACACGCTTTGTCTTAGCCCCCGAACTTGTAAATTGTTGGCGTGGCAATGAGTTTAAGAAGAATTACATGTTTTGACTTTCCAGTTTTAATTTTATGATTTATCTCACTGCGTTAAATTGGAAAAAAAATTAAGGAAATAAAACTTAAGTCGGGAATGTAGTGGAAAACATCATATGCATTTGGGCAATTCAAACAAAATGGACATCCATCAACCTTCTATAATGGCTTTCTATTACAAGTATGATCTATATTTATGGTGGGAGAAAAAAATCAAAACACATGCCTTTTTTTTGGAGCACTTTGAGAGAAAAAAAATATCGCTAGAGACAAAAAGGTGCTCTACTCTAGATTCATAATGGAAATTTTAACAAAAATAAATGAGTATTTGTAAATTGAAGAGGAATTTAAAATCACAATTTCTTGTCAATACGTACTTATGACCTATATTTTAAAGAGTTAAACCACCCTATTAAGTTGTACTCCAAACACTGATATTCCATTAAGGTGAAAAGACTGTACAGACTTATCCACAAAACCCTTCACTACAGCAAACTTTCATTTTTAACAATATGATTACCTCCTACTTCAAATCCAGCCTTCCTTCTTATGCTCACAAAGTTTTTATCCAATATTTGTCTAAATCACGTCCCGTAGAATGCTCTCCTCTCTTCTTCTACAAGTCTAGTGACTTATCTAATATGTGTAGCATCTTCAACAACATGCTAAAAAGAGATTGCATCTCCTAGAACACGGCGGCCTTAGAATAAGCCTCTCATGGTTTCTCTGAGAGGATAGTTTACACCTACAAACTTATCTTGAAAGAATAATATGACAGAATATGTTTAGTCAACTAGGGTCTATTCACTGTATTTTAGAACTATGACAAAAAACCTAAGATTTTTCCTTAATATTTGAAACAATCAATTTGTTTAGGCAACAAAACACTAAACGTCTTAAACATACAGTACATAGTTCAAGATATTTGTTCTCAATCTACAAAAGGGAAAACAAGGCCAGCAAAAAATAGACAAACAAAAATGATATGAGAATATAGAATTGGCTTACTCTAAACACAACAAAACCCAAAAAGTAGGGCTAACCTTAACCGTAGCCTTCTTAGAGACATCATCAAATAACTCAAAAATAAGGCAGCTCAAAAGTTTCCTTACCCAAATTATAAGCAAAATATATTTCCACCGGCATTTTAACCAAGCTTCAATGAAATTTCCATTCAGGAGAACTGTATCATGAACCGTTGATAATTTGCTAAGAGCATTATCAAAGAAATTTGGTGGACCAGTGAGCTGTTTGTCATCCAAATTTATCAAATATAATCTCTCATATCAATTTCTTTAACTCGGCAGAGGAATGGGAATAGGCTCCCATGAAATATCACCAAAATCTCATATGTATGGATTCAGCCCTATTAGAACAAAAAAACTGCTAGGGCTCGTGGGAAGAAGCGATCATGTTGTTGCATGATGCAAAAAATTGATGACAGGAAAGATGAAATCACCAAAAATCTCCACATGAGCATGAGCCATTACTAAACTTATGGAAACGGACAGCATCCCTTACAAGAATATCCCGTCCAGTTATCTTAGATATAATCTTGGTGGCGATATGGCAATCCGTACAAACTCTAAGATTCTTGAATACTCTTATAGGGAACTCATTTGGTAGGAATATCAAGCCAAATGCAATGGCAAGTTTCTCACTGTGGTGGCCAATCATAAACCTCTTCTCATACTCTGAGACATCATGCAAGACATTGCTAGTATCTGGCATGTAACCTTCTTCGTCCATCTTCAAACCAAGTCTTTCTAGTTCAGCATATATTTCTGTTGAATTAGAGTGTGATTGATCATCGGCTGAAAAGATATGAATCTCGTTATTGTACTTAATCCAACTGCAACCTGGCTCCTTCTTCACCCCCTTATCTCTCATTGTCTTTCTTATTTGAGCTACTTCCTCCCAATTTCTTTTTGATGCATGCATATTCAAAAGAAGTAAATAACTCGCAGGATTTTGTGGATCCAATTCAATTAGAGACTCAGCTGCCCATTTTGCCATCTCAATGTTACCATGAACCCTGCATGAGCTTAGCAATGTAGCCCAACCAATTGCATCTGGGCGGCAAGGCATCCTCTTGATGAAATTCATGGCCTCTTCCAACCTTCCTGCTCTACTAAGAAGATCAATCATGCAAGTATAATGATCAATAATAGGAGAAATTCGATGTTCATTTATCATTGAGTTAAAATAATAGTATCCTTTCTCCACCATCGCTGCTCGGCTACAAGCTGACAATACACCAATAAAGGTAACACCATCAGGCTTGACACCATTACCCATCATTCTCTCAAAAAGCTCGATTGTCTTTTTGGCCTTCCCAATTTGGGCATATCCTGAGACCAATGCAGTCCATGAGATCTCATCCTTGGTAGTCATTTCATCAAATAATCCATGGGATTCCTCAATATTACCACACTTACCGTATAGTGTAATTAAAGCATTTGAGACTGTAATGAATGGCATCAGCCCTAAGACAATAGCTTGACAATGAAGTTGTGCTCCCTCCTCTATGCTTGCCAAATTAGCACAAGAGCTTATTGCACTCCCAACCGTGAAATCATCAGGCTTAATACCATGTCTTTGCATTTGAAGAAAACTTACGATAGCTTCCTCATAACATCCATTCTGACCATATCCCACAAGCATGGTTGTCCAAGTAATAAGATTTTTAACCTTTGTCCCCTTGAAAACCGACTCAGCCAATTTTATACTCCTACATTTGGAATACATATCAACAAGTGCACTGCCAACAAATACATTGCCATCTAAGTGAGTCCTAATAATGAAAGCATGAATCTGTTTTCCATGGTCTAATGCTGAAAGAGCACCACAAGCAGTTAAAACACTGCCAAATGTATATTGATCCATGGTCACACCAGCATACCTCATTTCTTTAAGCAAGCCAATGGCTTCAAGTTCAAAACTATTGTGAGTAAGACCAGTAATCATGGTGGTCCAAGAAATTGAGTCCTTCTCCCTCATCCTTGCAAACAACTTTTTTGCTTTTGCAACCATGCCACATCGAAAAAAACCCATGAGCATACTATTGTGAATAACCAAATTCTTCTCCTTGACCTCTTGAAAAGCTAACCATGCCTCAGATACTAGCCCAATCTTAGAATACATATCAACCAAAGGGCTACCCACAAAGACATGAGATCCAAGCCCATGTTTTATTCCTTGACAATGAACCTGTATACCCAATATGGAAGAGACCACAGTTGATGAGATGATTAACATAGTGGAGAAAGTGATTCGATTTTGCATGGCATATCCTTCCCTCAGCATAAACTTGTAGGTGTCAATTGCCTTCTCGGGGAAACCATGAGAGGCATATCCTGAGATCACCGAGTTCCAGGAAATACAATCTTTTTCTGGCATGGAGTTGAAGATGTTTAACATCTCAGATAAATGACCGGACTTGGCAGAACAAGCGAGGAGAGCATTCCATGAGAACAGATTTCGACAAGGTATTTGGAGGAAAACTTTAAGAGCATAAGATGGGAGATTGGATTTGGAATAGGAGGTGATAAGGCTATTGAAAAGGAAAGTAATATTGCAGTGAAGGGTTTTGAGGATAATACCGTGGAGTTTTTTCACCTCGACTAGATGTTGAGGTCTAGAGTACAACTGTAGTAGGGAGGAATAACTCTTTGAAATTGAGGTCATGAGTATGTACAGACAATGACTTGCGACGTTAAAATCTCTCTTTGATTCATAAATATCCCTTTATTATTGCTCCAAATATGTTGTTATGACTCTGCACTGATACGGCAAGGAACAGCGAACGGAGAACGGCGGCAGGTTTTTCCGGCCGAAGGGGAGGCGGCGTCGGCGAGGGATGCGGGAGTTGACTAGGCATCATGCGGCTGCGTGAAATGGGAGCCCCTCCTGTGTCGTGAGATCACGCCTGAGAGAAAGGGAATCCGACCGCCGTAGGAGGCTCGCCGGCAGCGTTTTCGCCGGTGGGAACGCAAGCAGGCGAGGGAGGCGCGTCGCGCGAGCAAGAGAGGAGCGGCTAGGGTATTTGTTTTTATTTTAATTTTAATTTTTCTTTTTTTAAATGCCTGGAATTACATGTTATTGGTTCGAAGATGCAACCCAAGCAATATGCGCTATAGAAAATAGGTTCAATAACTCCTATTCTAATATGCACAACCCACCAAGGAAAACAAATTAAATTGTAATTAGAATAATAACATCTTATGTGTAAGAAGCTAGTAGTGGGGGAGCACTCGATCCAATCATGTAGAAAATTGGAATAACTAAGGTGATATTAACCCGAGAAAGACCTACCCACTTGGATTTACCTCTAACTCTCGGTTGAGGGAAAATCAATTTTCTATGGAAGAATTAATAATGAATATGGGGAATCAAATACATGGTCATGCTTCAACTATAAGTAAAATAAAAACATAATTAGAGTAAATATCCAACATTTTAAGTCAAAGTCCCAAATATATGTTTCCAAGTAACACAGAGGTGGGCCCAAAGGAGCAATGAGTAACGTGAAACCATTAGACTTAGAAATGGAAAGGAGATTAGGGATCACTATGAAGAGGAGTTGTTCTATTGAATTTCATCTTATATCTTAAAAAGCCAGTGAGAACCTAGCCAAGGACTTAGGAAAGCCTAACTCGCCTCTTAGAAAGGTACAAGAGAGGCCACCATTAGCTTTTCCCTAAAGGTTGCACAAACAAAAGCTAAATCAATAGTTTTATAGGTTTCTAGAGGTTTTCAAAAATCTCTGCATCTAAATCCAATTTGCTAAAGCCTTAGAACAAATGATTAGCTATGCAAAATTCATGAAAGACACCCTGAAAAAAAAATGTAAGCTAGGAGAATTTATTGGAAACAAAGTGCATGTAGGGAGTTAATACCCCTTGTTTATCTGAGTTACTCTCATCATCAACATCCCTACAAGAACTTAGTTTATTTGACCAATTAGAAAGTTAAAAACACTGTATATAGGAATTCTAGTTGTTGATTAGAAGAACAAGTGGTTTAACACATAATCACTTAGTGAAATAGACATATTGCAAATTGAAGATAGTAACCTAGATAAGAGGCTAGAAGAATCCTAGAAAACCCTACATGGTTAAGCCCCCTTAACAGTAATATGAGTTTCCAACACTTCTGATAACCAAAAACATGTGATAAGGAGGACATGTCCCTAGTCATCAACAATAATAAGAGGATCTTATAGGAATACTTCGATGATTCACATAATTTGAATCACAGGAGTATGAATTTTATTACCTCTCAAAAACTCTAAACCTATTTATGTTTTTGAGGATTTAAGAAACTTTTCACTTTCTACAAATATGAAACCCTTCAAACTAGACTTAGAGGTTTAGCAAATTAGAACTTTGCTAGTTAGAAAAATTGATAATTTTTTTCACGAGATTGACACACGGACTCTAAGTCGGTAGGTTACTTGAGTGACATGTATACTTGCATAATTGTTACTTGTTTTATAACAATTTTAGGAATGAATGACAATCATGATCTAAGAGTGCATTGTCTTACATGCATGTCATTCTATTGTACTTCATTGATATAATGCCTAAAGAGACTTCTCCACAATTTTTTATATGAGTCATATTAATATTGTAAAACATAATTTTTTTTTTGTTGTTATTACATTAAAATATTGATGTTTCAATGTTTTTTTAGATCAATAATGAATAGTTGATAGCATATGGAAAAAAATAATTGATGTTATTGTGTGCTTAATATATGAATATTATACCACATATTTAATCCTTGCATGATATCTGCATATATCAGAGACAAATTGATAGGAAAGTTACTTTATGGTCATCTATATTTTGTATGAGACAAGAAGTTTTTCTTGATTTATTGGAGAAGGAATGTTAAAATCATGACATCCATGACTTTCATGATGACATCGAGAGAGGTTTTAGTTATAGCTTTGTATATTTTATCACATAAGAGTTAATTAGGACAGTGACGAGGTGATTCCAAAACTCCTCAAAACCGACGAGATGATTCCAAAACTCCCCAAAATCAACGAGTAGGCATTTTTTAGTTGGGTTGGATGCTATGGTTAGTTTATCTTCAATGATCATGACATTTAAAGACTTAACATTTCAAATGACGACCAAAGAAATTTTGCATGATCCTCGATATATGGCATATTTTAAGATAAATTATAGTATTCATTTTTTTATAAATTATATATTATGCAATCAATCATTATTAATATCTTAGTTAACAAATAAAGGATTGCATTGGTACAGTTGATGAAACATATATTAATGCACTAGTCTCTAATAGTGAAAAGGTTGATGCATCGGGAATTATATGGTTCGCCAGCATAGAATGTTATGACTGCATGCGATTTTAATATGTATTTCACATATATGATAACTAAATGAGAAGGTAGTGCACATGATAGTCATATCTTTAATTTTATTGTGTGAATTACACGTTACAATTTTCCATTGCTACCTCCAGGTAAGCATGCATACAAAAAAAATTGTCCAACTTTTTTAAAACATGTTTTAATGGTTTTATTCTGCATATGAAAGGATTATCTTGTTTCTATTAGTTATCATTTATAATGTGGGTTTCTAAAGCCATTCCCTGAGATAAAATATCACATCTTTGAGGAGTAGCCAAGTAATTCGGTGAAGAAAATAATTGATTGACAAATGAAATTCATATTTACATAGTGTTATTGAGAGAACATTTGGTGTTTGGAACAAAATATTTTATGCTTTGAGATATGCATGCATATCTTTTTAAAATATAGGTGAAGATTGTCCCTTCAATAATGACTCTTCACAATTATATCCATTTACATCCTTCAACATCTGACTTTGATTTTAATGATGCTAAAGAGAATCGGTCAACATACTAGTACTGCTTGGGACAGTCAATATCACAAAATGCTTGTGATATTAGTGACTCTGGCATGTGGATTGAGGAGGGTGCTAGGGATATGATAAAGTTACTAGAGCAAATTACATGCACTAATTAATTAGTGATTATTATATGTCATCACATAAAGACATTATTAATCTCATTACGTTGACTATTTTTTCAATGCGCGCACACATCAGGTATGTGTGTGTGTTTGTGTGGATAATTTAATAATCTATTATGTTTTTTTTTTTTTTTCTATGAGCATGTTGTATTTTATCTCACTTAGATGGTCTCCTCGGCAATCGTAGACATGTTATATGTTTTTTTTTTACTTTTTTTTAGTTTGAAGGTCTATGATGAGATATAAGGCTTTAGGGGCAATCGTAGACATGTTATATGTTTTTTTTTTTTTACTTTTTTTTGGTTTGAAGGTCTATGATGAGATATAAGGCTTTAGGGGTTCTTCTGGATGATCTTAATGTTGTTATGGTTTCAGATATATATGGGTTTGGTATCAATACAACCAAGATCCTCTTATTTTTAAGTCATATGACCTTAGGGGTTTTTTTGGAGGTCCTTCATGCTGCTATGTTTATGCGACATGTACGAGTTTAAAATGACTTGATTAAAGGCAACCAAGATCCCCTTGTTTTTAGGGAGTCATATGACCTTAGGGGTTTTTTTGGAGGGCCTTCATACTGCTATGTTTATGCGGCATGTACGAGTTTGATATGACTTGATTAAAGGCAACCAAGATCCCCTTGTTTTTAGGTCTTCTACAACAAGAATGACATATTATTCATTAATTCATATTTATTCTAAGACTTCATTTTTTTTTGACATTATTGTTATATTTTTACTATTAGTAATATTTAATTTTTCTTATAACCCTGTCGTTGTAATATTAATAGAAGCTAATTTTATATATTAATCTTTGGCTTATCAGAAAATATGAATTTAAAACCTTCCACTACCTCTAGAGTCATATACTGCAACTGTAGATTATAATACTATATATTTACATCTAGCTATGGGAGAAAATTTTATAGATATCACATAAATAGATCATTAGAGGACCGCTACTTCTTTAGATGGGCTGATGAGTTAGAGGATTCTACATTTGATAATGACCGTCTATGAAAGTCAAATTTATTTATGTAAACAACTAACGTTATTTCTTTGATTTAATTAATTTCAAAAATAATAGCACTTTGTTGGGGGTTTATTGAAAGATGACAATCAACCTAGCAAGAAACAATAATTCAACTTCGAATTTTCATCCAGAAAATTTCAATGTTTGTTCCATTTTAAAACTCACCTGCAATATCGATTAATTTTATTATTATTATTATCATCTTTTATATAGATAGACACGTGCGCGCGCATACACACATGCGAGTTCCACTGATCCAACTTTAGCTCATTGCATTGCATCATCCGTTCGTAAACAAAGTAGAGGAAAGATTTTATTATTATTATTATCTTTTATATATATAGACACGTGCGCGCGCATACACACATCCGAGTTCCACTGATCCAACTTTAGCTCATTGCATTGCATCATCCGTTCGTAAACAAAGTAGAGGAAATAGCATTCCAGAATTAGTCGCTGCAAGTGCTTTCACACTGCAAAAAAGCAGAAAGGCATAAAACAAAACTAACCCTTTCACGTGATTCGTAATTGCCCATGAGAACATTAAAAAGACACGGAAGGGGATGGATACAAGTGCTCCTGCAAACTCAATAGAGGAAAACAAACAAAAATTGAAGGATTTGGATGGCTCCGACATAAAGATGGATGTTTTCAAACCATGGTTGTTAATGGAGATCGGGTTCACTTGGTGCTAGCAAGCTCGGTGCGGAGCTGCTTAGCTGCAGCAACCATGTTGGTGAGAGCAGGCTTGACTTCAGTGTATTTGCGGGTCTTGAGGCCGCAGTCAGGGTTGACCCACAGAATGTTGGTCTCGAGGACAGCAAGCATCTTCCTGATCCGGTCGGCGATTTCATCTGTGGAAGGAATGCGGGGAGAGTGGATGTCATACACTCCAGGCCCGATCCCGGCGCCATACTTGACTCCCTCGCGGAACACAGATAGGAGCTTCTCATCCGAGCGGGAGTTCTCAATGGTGATGACATCGGCATCCATGTCGATGATCGAAAGGATTATATCATTGAAGTTGGAGTAGCACATGTGGGTGTGAATCTGGAATAAGACAGGCTCTTGATGTTGAGGAAAATGCAGCAGTAGGTGTAAGAGTACAAGAAAAAGAGCAGAATTTTAAGAACCTGAGTGGTGTCCTTCACCCCACAGTTGGTGATCCGGAAAGAATGGACAGCCCAATCCAAATAGAAAGCTTCCTCAGACTTGCGGAGAGGAAGGCCTTCCCTTAGAGCGGCCTCATCAATTTGGATAACCTGAAAGCGAACAATATGGAAGGAATCCTCAAGATTGTTAATCAATGAAGCTGGGTAAAGAGAAAACATACATTGATGCCTGCTGATTCGAGATCCTCGACCTCCTGTTTGATGGCAAGGGCAATCTGGTAGCAGGTCTCAAATCTGGAAGGATTGTACAGTGTTGTTAGATATCGAGGACTGGAGAATGAGATGTAGGAAAAGAAAGGAGGTTGGTGGACAAACCTTGGCTGGTCATTTCGGACAAAAGACCAGTTAAGGATTGTGACAGGGCCAGTCAGCATTCCCTTCATGGGGCGCGAGGTCATGCTCTGGGCCAGGGAGGACCAAAAAACTGTCATTGCTTTGGGTCGGCTCACATCACCATAGATGATGGGGGGCTTGACACATCGGGAGCCATAAGATTGAACCCAGCCGTTGACAGTGAAAGCAAAACCAGACAACTGCTCACCAAAATACTCAACCATGTCGTTTCTCTGTACATCAAGATCAGAAGTAATGCTTTAGAAAATATAGTTTGTCTGCGAGCTTTCCAAAACAAGATAAGAAGCGCTTCACATGCAAGTTTTCTTGGCAATGAGAGATGTTAACTTGTTATCTTTAATTTTCTTTCAAGGTCGAGGAAGGAAAAGAAATGGTAATAATAACCTCGGGTTCTCCATGCACAAGGACATCAATGTCGAATTCCTCCTGGATCTTAATAACCTTGTTAATTTCCTCCTTGATCGCATTGACATACTCTTCCTCGGCAATCCTGCAGTGCAGAAATAGTCAAATATTGAGCCTAAGAAAGGCATAAAGCTAGTAAAATACTACAAAGAACGTACTTGTTAGCCTTATACTCCCGGCGTACCCTTCGGAGTTCAATGGTTTGGGGAAATGATCCAATGGTGGTGGTAGGAAGAATTGGAAGGTTCAGTTTCTTTTGTTGGGCATCCAACCTCGCACTGACATTTGTTGCCCGGCGGTGTTCGGAGCCCTTCAGAGCGGCGGCCTGAGAATGGAACATGTTGAGTAAGAGTTAGAATTTAGAAGAGGGCAATGAGGGCAAGAAAATTCAAGTTTAAAACCATAAAAAACTTACAGCTTTCTGGACTTCAGGATTGGTCACACGAGGAGAAGCCTTCCTTGACGCCTGAGCAGCGGCATTTGCTGAGAAGAAAGCCTATTAAAAAGTGGAAATTTGATGAGAATGCATGAAGGAATCTCCTTGATAAAATCAGCCAAAAGTGTTCATTCAAGACTTGATAAAGGGTCAGCTATCAAAGCTTGTAATACTAAAAGCTTAACGTGAATGATATTTTTCCAGACGAAAAAGATTAAATGGTCAAAATAAACAAGAAGATGGGGCGCATTTGAAGATTTTACCTCATCCTTGTGACCAGACAAAGCCTTGGCAAGTGCATTAACTTCAACCACCTTCTGTGCAGCAAAAGCCAACCAGGACTTGATTTCATCATCTAGCTTTGTCTCATTTACAAGATCAACAGCGGTGTGTAGAAGGGAGGAAGAAGTTGAAACAACAAGCTTGTCTGCAACAGAAAAATAGTAATGGCAAATTAACTTAACGCAATGCATTTTATAAACAAAAAGAAGAACCAAAAATGTGTAATACCCTTGCCAACAACACTCTCAAGATCCTGAAGAATGCTAAGGGAAGCAGCAAGATCATTGGCCCAAATGTTCCTTCCATCCACAACACCAGCGAAAAGATACTTTCCAGATGGGAATCCTGCACTTTTGATCAAATCAATGGTTTTGGTTCCACGGATGAAGTCAAATCCAAAACCAGTAATTGCACCCAAGGCAGTGATTGTCCTGAAAAGGACAATTATAATGTAAGTTTCATCGAGACTTGCAATGATTAGAAAGGCTGATGGAGGAACAAGAATAAGAATTGACTAACTTGTAGGCCTCAACCGGGACATCAGCAAAGTATGTCTCAATGACCACATTCAATCCGGACAAAGAAGATTCAAGCTCTGTGTAGGCTGTGTTAAATGCTTCCAACTGGTGAGAAGCAAGATCCTTGACAAGGGTGGGTTCATCAAATTGAATCCATGAAGCACCGGCATCCTTCAACTCAGCAATAACGTGCCTGTTGATGATTAACTAGTTTAAGCAATGAACTTAATGAGGAATAAAAATAAATCATTCAATTGGAAATTTCATCACAATTAAGCCCTTACTTGTAGATGGGAAGAATATGTTTTAGCAACGACAGAAGTGGGAAAGTTTTTTCAACACCTTTGGCTGGCTTGGAGAGCAACAAATAAGTTACGGGCCCAATAAGCACAGGAATGGTATCAACTCCAAGCTGATTCGACATTCAGACAACAAATAAATCTCTCACATTGAAACGCTTTGCCAATTATTTAACATATACGCAAGTTGTTCTAATTAGTCAGTTTTTAAGAGACATGACAAACTTCATAGAGCAGTAATGCCGGATAAATTCCACCAAGATATATGGGACAAACGAGTAAAAAGCCCCAGCATGGTCACAACACAGAAAGTCCATCCATTTAAAGGAGCTAAAAACTTCAAATAATGAATAATATTCTGTATTCAAAAGAATCAATGTAGATAAGTAAATACCGACTTAGCCTCGTTATATTCAGAGACTGCCTTGTGAGAAGCATATGAGAACTTTGTGTTGGGGCCCAATTCAGGAACGATGAAGTGACTGGATCAGCAAATTCAAAAAAGAGGGAATTTTAGGAATAATATCAGAGTAGTAAATGAACATGCTGATTTTTTTTCCATATCATGTCGACAAGTAAAGATAAGCTGATGCATAAGCTGTAGTAATCTGACTCACTAATTGGTGTCAAACCATTTGGTCATCTCCATAGCAGGTACAGAGGCATTTCCTCTAGCCATTGAAAAGTAGGTGTCAAAACCAATCTCACCACCATTCCAATTATATCTCTCAGGGACTGCTCCAAGCATCGCGGTTGTGTCAAGAACTTGATCATAATAGGAAAAGGTATTACTGGGAATGTACTTAATCCCGGCAGTAGCCATTTGCTTCCAAATGGAAGACCTGAGATCAGCAGCAACCTTCTGCAAATCCTCAGCAGTACTTTTACCATCCCAAAATGATTCAAGAGCAAATTTAAGCTCTCTCTTCGGCCCCATGCGAGGGTATCCAACAATATGTGATGCCATATTTCTGAGCATTAATTAAACAATACAATTAAATTACAACAAAGCCAACAGATAAGAAAACAAGCAAACACAGGAAAGTTTCTTTGATAGAAAAGACAACAGAAATAAACTACAAACCAATAGGTTCAAAATAACAAAAACTTACATTTTTTGTAAGTGGCAGTGTAGTATCAGGCAGGATTTCAACAAAATTTTGCTTAAATTCTGCCAAACAGAAACTTGAGGTTTTATATCTTTTTATTTTAATAAATTATAATCCAATAATTAAATCTAAATTTGTTAAATCCTATCATTGAAATGACTTAACGGATTCAAGTTATTCCTCTAAAACTCTTAAATCCCAAACAAATTGCAAAAAAAAAAAAAAGAATTTAGTGATATTGAAAAATATCATACAAATAAACTTTCCAATTTAATCTTCTCAAGATTTAATAAATCTGGATTTAATAAATTTACTAAACTACGTGAAGACAGCAACCCATTAAATTTTTCTTTAATGGGACTTCGGCGACTAAATTTAATTGCAATAAACACGAGTACTTAATGCCAGCAATGGATCCCAGGCTAAGTTCGCGAAGCTTCCCCAAACAGTGATCCCCGGGCCAGCCGGTTGCATTCCTTTTATATGGTTATGAATGATACACCGCTAGATCTACGAGCTAGCATGTGAAAATTAGAAATTCAAAGAAAACGGATTTGAGATATTAAAGAAAATGTCTTTCACAGCATGATCTACGAATCCTCCGCTTAAAAGAAAAGTTAAATCTCATGTACAAAGATTCCATTAAAACACTTTATGCTAGATCCGAATCCCTAAATACACTGCATATCAGATCTAGAGATCCAGATTCACCTAAAACCAGATCTCAAGCTCAAAGCAGCCAATATGCAAGATCCACAACCAAAACCATAACATCGTGCAAAAGGTCCAACGCCGACAAAACTAGGCAAGGCCGTAAACACCCTAAGCCCAATCAGCATCCTAAACACAGGATCCTCAAGCAAGCAATGCATGAAAAACAAGCAGAACTCACAGATCCGCGGCCCCCCTACGTCTATCCAAATATCAAATAAAAGCAGCCCCTCAGCATCCAACTTACAAGCAAATCGAATGATGTAAGAACATGAGAGAAACCCCAGATCTAATCAGGAAGAACAAAAAGACAAAACCATTCGACAGGAAAATCTTCAGGGAAAG